ATAGTTAAATGAATAAAGTTAAAAGAATTAACACACTACAACTAGAGCACAGCAATGATTGGTGTTTGATTCAAAACGCCACAGCAATCATCGCTTGACTGCAGCTGTATAAACAAATAGATACATTGAGTTGCATTTCCAAGTTATCACATTCACCGCCATTTTAGAGATTTAGTCTGTCTACGGTTCGGCGTTCCCTGGTTGATCTCCTTAGAACTGGAGGCGATGGAGATCTAGAGACAATATTATTTTCAACAATATCTTCTTGCGTTTGAGTTTTATTGTTTCCTTGATTGATAGATGGAGACATAGGTTGAATCGAAGACTCGTCTCTAACGTACAATGGTGTTTCATGGTTGATATTGTCTGTCCCTTGCCTATTCATCGAAATTTCGTAACCGACAGGGGCCAGATGTTTTGAGGCCACAGTTGTTTCTCTGCCATCTGGAAATCGAACATGAGCATATTGTGGATTTGCTTCCAGAAGCTCGACTTCATCTACTAAAGGTTCGGTTTTCGACTTCCTGACATATCTTTTCAAAAGCAATGGTGTTTCATGGTTGATATTGTCTGTCCCTTGCCTATTCATCGAAATTTCGTAACCGACAGGGGCCAGATGTTTTGAGGCCACAGTTGTTTCTCTGCCATCTGTAAATCGAACATGAGCATATTGTGGATTTGCTTCCAGAAGCTCGACTTCATCTACTAAAGGTTCGGTTTTCGACTTCCTGACATATCTTTTCAAAAGCACTGGTCCCGGCGTTGACATCCAGGATGGAATAGAACATCCAGACGTAGATCTTCTGGAGAATTTGAAAACTCGCTCATGAGGAGTCTCATTGGTGGCTGTACACAATAACGACCGTATGGAATGCAAAACATCAGGCAAAACCTCATGCCACAATTGAACAGGAAGACGTTTCGATTTCAGCGCCAACTTCACCCCATTCCATATCGTGCCATTAAAACGTTCAACCTGTCCATTTCCTGCAGGATTATATGGTGTAGTGCGACTTGTTGCAATACCTTTGTCATTGAGAAAAGAGCGAAGTTCTCGACTCATGAAAGCAGAACCTCTGTCTGAATGTATAAAAGCAGGCATTCCAAATGTAGTGAATAGTTGCGTGAGACATTTAATGACACTTGCTGTGGAAACATCTGGACATGGAAATGCAAACGGAAATCTCGAAAATTCATCGACTACGCACAGAAAGTATCGATTATTATTGTTTGACGGTAGAGGTCCTTTAAAGTCTATATTGAGACGTTCAAATGCCTGTGTAGCTTTGATAAGGTGCCCGGTGTCAGGTTTATGAAATCGCGGCTTGCATTCACAACAAACAGGACATGTTGAAATAACTTTTCGAATGTCATCCATCGAATATGGCAAATTCCTGACTCGAATAAAGTGAGACATTCTCGTAATTCCTGGGTGACACAGAGCGTCATGAAGTTTATACAAAAGATGATTATCGGGATCTTGTACAGTTGCGCACGATATTCTTGAAAGTGCATCAGAGGGAATATTTCTTGCCCTGGACGATAACGAATGTCAAAACTATAGCAGCAGAGTTCGAGTCGCCATCGCATGATTTTATCATTTTTAATCTTTGTTCTGTGATTTCGATTGAACATAAATGATACGGATCTCTGATCTGTTATAAGAGTGAAATGTTTACAAGTGAGATAGTGACGCCAATGACGAACAGCCTCAATGATGGCCTTTGCTTCCTTCTCTATTGAAGGGTGTTTGAGTTCTGGACCTTGTAGCATGCGAGAGAAAAAAAGCCACTGGTCTCCCACCCTTGGTTTAGGGTTGCAGCCAATGCTACATCAGAGGCATCTGTTTCTACTTCAAAAGGTAAAGTTTCATCCACAGCTATAACGACAGCAGATTCTACGAGTCGCTTCAATTCGTGAAACGCATGAATTGCCTGGTCGTCGAGAGGGAAAGTTTTCGCAGATGCTAGTGGTCTGATAGTATCAGAAAACTTTGGTATCCACTTTGAGTAGTACGAGAAAAACCCAAGACAACGCTTTAAAGCGGAAACTGAGGTAGGAATCGGCAAACGCCGCAAAGGTTCTAGTCTCCCAGGATCCGGACGTATTTGGCCTTCCTCAATCTCGTAACCTAAAATCTGAAGTTTTCTGGTCGAAAATATGCTTTTGTTTTCGTTCAATTTTAGATTTCGTCGTTTAGCGGCTTCTAGAAACTTCTGCAAGTTGATATCATGGTCTTGTTGAGTATGCCCCACAAATGGTAATGTTATCGAGATACGCGAAAACACCGGTCAGGTTTTCTTCTTTTACCAGGTTCATCATTGCCCTCTGGAAGCAGGCCACACCATTTGTGACTCCAAACGGTAAACGAGTGAACTGGAACAGAGCACCCGCAGCTTCGAAAGCAGAATATTTCTGGTCTTCCTTTTCAAGTGGAACCTGATGGTATGCACTTTTTAAATCCACTGTGCTATACACACGATAATGAGCAATTTCGTTGATTATATCGCTCATATTAGGTAAAGGAAACGCGTCTAACTGAGTAAATTTATTGATGGTCTGTGAATAATCGATTACAAACCTTCGTTTCCGATTTTCACCCTTTACGACGACAACTTGAGCTCTCCACGGAGATCTGCTAGGCGTTACAATTCCTTCCTGTAACAACGGTTGACCTCCATTTCAATAAACTTTCTATTCATCTTTGGAATACCAACGAGACTTTGTAGCAATAGGATGGCAGTCAGCAGTCAGATTTTTGAATGGTTCTGGTGGCAAACTTTTGAAAGTTGAAAAGCCACATACAGACATTGGAGGTCGATCGCCGCCGTAATTATAAGTTACACTTTGATGTTGTCCTTGAAAGTCTATTCCAAGTAAAATGTCACAACATAGATCATCCATCACTCTCAATATGAATTTTGATAGTGTCGGCCCTGATATTCAATATCAGCTGCTGTGCAACCTTTTATAGGCATGGAACACGCCAGAGAAGCCATTGCTACCTTGTCCATAACTGTGTCTCTTTTGATTGGGAGGTTACACCTTTCTATGAGACGAGGGTGTATGAAACTCTGACTACTGCAACTATCAAAAAGTGCGCGTACTTTGTGTCCTTCAATATGAATCACAGACGACGACCCTCTCAATGATTTTGGGGTATTGTCAAAAGCCATTCCTAATATATACGAGTTAGAACATGCAGTGACTTCGTCAGGATTTTTTGGGTTGAAAACGGTTCCTCTGCAGACTTTTATGAAATGTCCCTTTTTATGACACTTGAAACAAAACACATTTCGGGCTGGACATTTTGAACGAGGATGTTTCTTTCCGCCACAGAAAAAGCACGCGGAATTTGCAGTAGCAGATATTTTCTCGATATCACACGATGTCTCATCGTTTTGAGTTTCACTGTTTTGAGCAGCCGCAGACACAGTAGAAGGGTCGGATACTCGATAAGCTTCAGCATTCTTAATTGCTACTTCTAAGCTTCTGGCTTGATCGTATGTCGTATTAAGATCAAGGTGTTTGTTTTCCAACAAACGCTGTCGTATCCATGTGGAGTTTAAACCCCGGATAAAAGCGTCTCGGACATATGCATCTCGGTTTTGAACAGCAGATACAGCTTTGAAATTACAATGTTTGCTTAACGATTTCAATTCTTGCATGTATTCGTCTACATTTTCAGATGCTTGTTGGTTCCTGGTTGCCAGAACATGCCGAGAATAAACTTCATTGAAAGGTTTGACAAACATTGTTTTCAGAATCTCAATCGCAGTATCGTACGATTCTGCCTCCTCAATGTTTTGGAATATACGAGGAGATATGAAATTCACCAGTACACCAAGTTTATCAAGGCCTTCAGACGGCAAGGCGTTTAGAAAATTATCGAAAGTCTTCTTCCAGTGTAGCCACTCACAGGATGCTTCCCTAGAGTTAGGATCTACCTCCAGTCTCTCTGGTCTCAGAACCTTGTCCATGCTTGTACCAGAATACTCTTGTGAAATGATTTAAGTTGAATAAATTGTAATGAATGAGAAATATAGTACCTTGATATAAGGCTTTATTCAACTTAAATTTAAAGCACTCTTAGAATGAATCTAAAATAATATAACACAAGCAAATGTTATTAAACAAGAAAACAAATACGTATCGAATTGCAGATGCTAACAGTAAGCGGCTCAATAGTTAAATGAATAAAGTTAAAAGAATTAACACACTACAACTAGAGCACAGCAATGATTGGTGTTTGATTCAAAACGCCACAGCAATCATCGCTTGACTGCAGCTGTATAAACAAATAGATACATTGAGTTGCATTTCCAAGTTATCACATAGGAGTTTTAGGATGTACCTACATGAAAGCCGGTAGAATCCGCATTTTTATATTTTTTAAAGCTCGAACTGATATGATTTTGTCACAATTACATCCAACAAGCGCCTTCAGTTAACAGTTGATTGGACGTGTTTTATCCTAAAATATTCTAACACTCTCCATCTTTTTAGCAAATTAAGGGGAAAAACGAGTTTATAAATGTCCACTCAATAGCAGAGGATCAGCTAAAATAAAAGAACAAACGATTAAGCGAAGGCTTAAATAATATGACTCGGCATGTGTGCAATGTAAATTGGATATTTTCTGCCTTGTCAGCCTGTTTGGGACTGTTTTCTATGCGCTGGAAAATATGAATATCCAGTGTAAGCGTCAAATACACAACAGTGCAGCATACAACAGGTTAGCAACCAATCACAAGAAATCTTTTTATTTTACTACATTGGATACCCGACAGCCAGACTGCACCTTCTAAAAAGAAGTCAGAACAACAACCGTTGGAATATCGAGCGCACAAACCAAGGATAAACAGATCGAGCAATAATCAAACACAGCAATTTGATAACAATCATAAACTATAGGAAATGTGTTGTACAGGGACAAAACAAAATGTGAAATAAATTTGAAATGTTAGGAACTCCGGAAAAACGGCCCACGAATGAAGCTGAACGACTTTCGCGATTATTGCTGCATTGTATTGTATTAGCACTTATTAGCAGAGGATCAGCTAAAAAAGAAAAACATACGATTGAGCGCGGGATTAATAAATATGACCTGGCATGCGTGCAGTGTAACTAAAATTTTTCTAGCTTGTCAGCTTGCTTGAAACATTTTAAATTTTCGTTCAAAAATAAACCATTTCAACACACATATTAGAAACTATGAATATTTAGTGTCAGCGTCGGATAAATAACAATTCGGCTAGTAAAACAGAACTATTCTAAAGTATTCGCAATCCCTAATGAAGAACAAACTGATCAGTGTCGTTGCGACGAAATCAGAAAATTCTGAAAATTTAATAAAAAGTCCTCATGTTGCGTGCTTTCGAATCTACCAATTTATTACGCTTCATCGGATAATTAGAAGTGACCATTTCATTTCTTTCTTAAATTCGTGGAAACATCTAGCGCTTTTTTGTTAATACGTTTTTTTTTTCATTTCTCCACTATTTAGCTTAACATTCTCACTTTGCATCTTTACTGTTTTACTCAAAGTAAAAAACAATTCACATCATTTAGCATTCACAAATGTATTTTTGTACGGCTAAGACATTCACGCGAGAATGACTTAGAAATAAATTATTATTTATCAGATTTTTTTGTATTTAAATAAAAATTTACCAAACACAAATCTGGGTTGGGCATTTAAATTAACGACAGATTTAAATTCAATTCAACAAAAGCATTTATTTCAAAAAACACCCCCGAATGCAGATTTCAATTTTTTAATTTCTCCTAACCCGAAACCTAACCCAAGCTGGACAACCACAATTTGTTATTTTAAAGCTTCAAGTTAAAGACGGATTTAAATTCAATTCAATGGAAGCATTAACTTCAAATCAAATCTCTAATTTTTCAAAGAAACATTCACAACTGTGATAATATACTTAGATAATTGGTATATTGCACTATAGTTTTTTTTTTAAATATTGAATTATTCCGAACTTTTCCGATCTAGCGGGGAAATATTTGAATATTCCATTTAATCGAGGACTAATATAAACAAGAGAGCTGTGCTCAAATATATGGACACGTAACATGGTGTCGCTATTTTTCATTCTGACACATAAAAAACGCGAATCTTCGAGGTCCACAGAAATTTTTGAAATAAGTAATAGTAATAGCCATTCTGACTAAAAAATCAATCTTTAAACACTGAAAATTTCAAAGCAATTGGTCCAGTATTTGAAAAGAAAAGCGGTTTCATCATGACGAAAGAGAAGAATACTAACAAGAACAACAACATAATATTGAAACGATCGTTATGTACACTGACGTGTCCAAAAACTTAATTCAACAAAAACTTGCGGTGGCACAATGTGGTATTCGAAGATTTTACTAAAATTGATTGATTTCAGAAAAATATTTAATTATTTCGATCTAATTTCGGCTTGGGGGTTAAAATTTGAATGTACCAATAATTTTTCGAACTATGAAATTATGTGAACTATATGAACTATGTCAAGTTTTGGGTTTAAGAATGACCGAAAACGTAATTTGATAAATTATATATGAATTGGATATATATTTAAACAAATCTATTCGTACCTGTCTGTCTGCTCTAGCGATATGGCAACATCAAATGAAATAATACACCGTAGATTTTCCAAATTATAAACCCTAACGAGCCTGTGGAACCCCTGCGGTATTCTGAAAGCTCGCGCCAAACCCCATTGTACCAGATGGTTGAAATTAGGAGCCCAATTGAGACTTTATAAAGGGGAAGCATAATTTCGTGCAGGGGCATAGAAAATGAAAAGATTCAGGTTGAAAATCCGTGGTTTGCCATAGCAATCGAAGATGTTTCAAAGTCATAAGCAGAAAGAATCAAAGGCCACTATCATATAAGCACAAACACCAAAGCGCGCGACATGGGCTAAGCGTTAGGAATACGCTCGCCACCGCACCTCTAATTACTCTGCGTGGGTTCGCAGGTTCGAATCCCATGCAGGGATGGTTATGTGCTAGAGGATTGCTGGACTCCTCGCCGTCGTTGGGTGGTTCACGTAACCGCTGGTCGGTTACGGCTTCCTCCACCACCAAGTCCATGCTTCCGAAAACAAACAATACAGTAAAACTAATCTCATACCCGACTTGGAATGGTAACCGGACGAGAGGCCGTGGTTCGCCATATGGATAAGCCGTCTTATCGGCTTTCCTCTCTCCCGGGATAAATATGTAAATCCTATCCTATCCTATCCATTCGTGGAGATGACGGGTTCACTAAAACTTACAAACTTACAACTGCGCAACGCTATACAAACAGCAACGCTAATTTATAAGTTGTTGAACGTGTAAGTTTAAATATCTGAGATGAACTGTAGTTAAATTTGCATAATTAGTAGACGATGTGATAGAAATTCCCATAATAGAAAACTGTTTTAATTTAAAGGAACCTCGTCGAACCCCTGTTACCCCAACAAAAAACAAAAAGTCGATTGAACCCTGGTTAAAAACTACTCTTCTAGACTATTGAAAAACTAACAAAACGCTATGGCAACGAAATAAACCCATAAAGTACGAATACATAAATACTATAAAATGAGGCCCGACCAATTGTATTAATGCAGCCGCAATTGCCCCATTACTAGTATTATAACCCCATTGCTGGCGGACTGCCGCATACTTCGATATTTGTCAAACGATGGGAGAACGCCCGAAAAGAAACATAACCCGCGTCTTTTCGGGAATTGTGCATACGAAATTAACAAAGCAGAAACATTTATTGCATACCAGCTAAAAACTGCACACCTTCCGTGAACTAGCGGGTGGAAACCATTGCATTATATGAATTTACGAAAATTATATAAATAAAATTGGGCGGAATATTATGGACATCTTGTGAGGATAATTCAAATATTTGCAGTTCTTCCTGACTAGCGGGATTTAACATGATATATCAGTTTATACGTGACAAAATATGAATTGAAAGATTTATAAGATTTCATACTTGCTCTTTACTCTTTACACTATATAGGCTTCCATCTCACTCCGTGAGGCACCAGACTAATAACAATGTCCGTTTGATGCAATGATTCTTTCAAGCAGTGATTTAGAAAACTGAAAATAAATATATAGTTTCATTATCAAGTTTTGGATTTACTAATCACAAAAAATGCTTATTAGAGGTAAAGCAAAGGTAAGCTTATATTGAAAATACATAAACAATATTATTTGACCACGTAGAAATGCCATTATTGCCGATTTATTCATGTGATTAGTATCAATAAAAAAGTGTTTTAACAAAGTTGAGTTACGTGAACATTCAACAGTAAGTATTGTAGTGATTACCAATTTGCGAAGTTCTTTAATTATTATTTAACACGAAAGTAACACCGACACGATCTAAAATTAAACGCATAGAAATGTCCAACTATCCGCTTCAAAAATATCGCACCCCGGGGTCAATAATGATGGTATTGTTTCGCCTAAAATTGGGACCGTAATTTACAAATTGTGATAAAAAATCCTACACAGAAGATAGAAATCATAAATAAAATTAATTTGTGTTGTGAATGCACTTGTTGTCCCTCTCATGTCCGAAATATAAAACTACGATATCGCCGTGATGATTAATATTTACTAGTGAATAAAAAAGTGCTTTAATATAGTCTAACAACATTAATTGGAATGTCGGCCGCCAAAACGATCGCGGTGACAAATAATTCACGGAGGCCTTCGATTACGACAGAAATATGAAATAAAAAAACGCCGCACTGTCTAGTAAAATCCGAAAAAAAAAATATTGTCACGGCGGTGGTTCAGCGGCCCGACATCCCAATTGATGTCGTTCAAGATGACAATACTGATATCCGGTGTCCGTTAAAAATATTCGATTAACTCGATTAAAAAATACGATTATGCCCGCCACTGATCACGGCGTAAGTAAATAATCATTGAATGGAAATAAAAGTTCAACTTCATAACAATAAATTCCAAGTAATAGTTTCAAATTTCATGCTTTTGATCGGCGCTACATGCGGCGTATTTTTGGTACATATAATTACTATTATGACACTACTGACATCTGCGAGTTTTAGTTCTCTCTGAAATTAATTTTCCCGAAGTTTTGATGTTCTGTTTCTAAATGCGGGTACCCGCTGACTACGGATTAATAGTCGACGTTTGAAATACGACTTGTAAAATATTCACCAACACCATCAGGCAAAGAGAGACGGGCTGCAACGTAACTGTGGAATTTTCGCTGTGAAACGACCATACATTTTTAGTTTATTAACGCATTACGTCGTCGTGAATTGCACTTTTGGCGCACTCTTTTAATTTCATCGTAACCCGCATTGGAAAATCCTGGATGCGACAATATTTAAAATGCGGTATTTATTGGCTTAATTGTGTTCAATGAAACCTGCAGTTGCTACGACTTACGTCTTACGACAATATAAAATCATTACAACTCAAAATTACCGCGTCAATCAGCGGACTTGTAATGAAGAACAATGAACCAAGTGTAACAACACTGAATCCGCCCCGCCGCAGTCCTGTCACTCTGATTCTTTTTAAGGTTTCATCGTTTGAAATATTCCAAGATATGGACAAAATACGAACGATTGCAATTTAAATTATTGCAAAAACATCGATCTAGATATCTTGCATTAATTATTTATATATCTGCCACATACCGAGAAAAGTCGTATGCGGCTCCATAGGTAGTTGGTTTCAAAATAGTCAAAAGGTACATCGCGTACGCAATTTCCTGTGTTTCGATTTCAGTTACTATTATGGCATATATTTTAAAGAAATCCTAACAATAAACCAAATTTTGTGATTTTACAATGTCTAAAAAGCGTTTTCATCTGCTGCGAGACTGCTAAAACAAAACTTATGGTGATATCTTCCGTTTTATATTTAATTTTAATATTTTATAATGCCGCAATCCAGGAATTGGGTTGCGGATTCACTCTCTTTATCATTTATTTCTTTCACCGATTTTTATAATATAGTATTCTAACTTGTTTGTGATGAATGTAAATTAGAAAGATTCAGAAGATTTTAATAACATACTTGCTCTTTAGACTCAATGCATCAACCTCTCTAAGTGATGCATAATCGGACAAATAACTCCGCATGTCTTTTGATGTATAATGATAAATTGTCTTTTCCTGCTTTCAAGAACAGTTTCAGAAAGCTGAACTTTATGCGAGATAATGAACTGTAAATAAATTTTGTATAATATTGATTTGAATAAATATAGTTGTTCGAACTAAGTCATTATTGAGTTTTTGATTTATAAGTTACGGAAAATATAATTTGACAGGAGCACAGACAAGCTATGCTTATACTTGGATACATAGATAAAAATATTAATTTCAGTTCATTTGACAAATTATTTCAGATTTCCCACTTATTTACTAACATTACTTTGAATGAATGGTGTATAATATTGCAACACATATTTTATTTATATTCAATTGAAAAGCACGTTGAAAATACAGCTATTAATGAAATGTAAATATCAAAAAATAAGGGCGGGAAAAGATAAAATTTAACAAATATTTCTGTTTCTAATTACCTTTACGCCCCTCAAAAATTGTCCACGCTATTGTGATAAGCTATGCTTATTCTAAAGATACAAGGACGACAACTTGTACTGATATTCATTTACGTTCATTCTATATTATCTATATTATTTGCAGATTTTCACTATTATAAATATTACTTATTCGGAATGATCTGTCAGTGTGCTATGTTGTATCTCATTTAGGCTTGCACGTAATTTACGGATTTACGGAATTACGTAATTATTTGGAGTTACGGAAGGGAAGTTACGAATTACGTAAAGTCGTAATTATTGCATTGAAACGAGCTTTCTTCAAAGCAGTCAATTTCGTCGATTGCGAAAAATGAAAGCTCAACAAGTAGAAGAAGTTAGAGTTCCGGTATTCGCAGCCGTTTTTCTCTCTCTTGTTACGTATGTGAAGAAAGGCATGCCGCGTTGCCATTTACTAACCTATTATCAACTTATCTGGCGTGGCCAATGTAAATTATTAGTTAGTTGGTGGGGGAAGAACTGAGTAGGGTCGTTTGATGTCAACACACCTGGTTTAACTTCTCCCGCAACTTAACCATAGATTAAGGGATAGAAATGTGTTAAGACCGATGGACGCTAACACGCCCGGTTTCAACTTCTTCGGTGAATGACTAATGAACGCAGGAGATCAATCTATCAACATGGCCTATCAAACTTTGTATCCATTTTACTTTTATTTATTATTTACTTGTTCCAGTTTTCCGTTATTTTATGGTATATATGTTCCGTTTCTATTTTATATTCACGCGTTTCAATAGTGGGAATTCCCGCAAGTGTGGATTAGCAATGCTTAACCATTCTTTATTGTTAATATCAACACTTGATATATGAACATGGAATATCATTGTTTTTGGCTGTTTCATTTCAGACTTGGGTATAAACAGGAAAAATCCATAACCTTTCAACACGACGATCTTGTGAAATTTTAACGAAGAGCTTTCGCGACGAATTGGAACCAAATAAGCGAAAAGAGCGATTGATCACTCGCGCCAATACCTCGCCGTGATAATTAATGTCGCGCTTATCAAATAGCAATTTGACGACAAAAGAGAGATTGCGTAATGAACCAAAACGACGGATTCCTCGCGGACCGTTGAAAATTTAACTGCTATCATATATAATCAAATATGAGCCTGTGTGTTTATTCTGTGCGAGATCCATTTTCTATTACAAAATCTTGATGTTCTGTTAACGGTTTTATCTTATATATCAGCCCGGACTTGGCCTTGCTCATGATGTTTTTCACAATTCCTCTCAATATTTCGGCCATAAATAATTAACTGTCTTACCAAATGCGGCAACTTATTTTGATTTATCGCCGACTTGAATACCGGCACTCGACCAAACTTTTGTCAATCTTGGCCGATAGGATCGCGACTTGAGTTAGCAAATAAATGTGTGAGTGTAAATAAATCACAAAATGCATTGTTTTGCGATATAACTTTGTATTTCGGAGAAGGCATGTCATATAAGTTCGGTATTTAAATTATACGCAAATAAATAATATTTTGATCTAAATTTATCGCAAATAATGTTATAAACATTCAGTCCGCGAAATGATTGAATGTAAATGAAGCATGGTAATCGGAATATCGTCAATAGTCGACATCAATAATTATTATTATAAAAATGCTAACAAGGCATCAATGTCGGATAATGCAGAAAACGCAAAACTGCAAAAACAAGTCTTCGTCGCGAGGAAATCGCAAGTATAATCAAATGAGAGAATACGCTCGTCGTTGGTTAATAAATTAGAAACCCGTAATTTTATTCAGTACTAAGGTGGTTTAAAACACTATCGTTTCCATAAATATCCGTATACCAGTGTCGGTAATGATAAAATAAAATTGATCGCATAAAAATGGGACGGTTAATTTGCGAAGGTGATAAAGAAAAACCAAAGCTAACACAAAAGATAAAAATCAGAATAAAATTAATTTGAATTCACTCCTTGACATCTGCCGCCGGCGTGTAGTACTGCCAAGAATAGAAAAACCCAACTTCAATGTCCCATTCGGAAAAAAAGTGGATTCAATGGGTTGTTACGATAGGTTTAAATGCGTGGAAAAATATCGCAATAACGGGGTCATTACGTAATTGATTTTGCCGTAATTACGGAATTGATTTTTGTCAATTACGTGCAAGCCTAATCTCATTATCTAAATTTTAACTAGTGAATTATTTATTAGTGTGTTATATTTTACCTTCAAGTTCTCTATAGTCTTTCCTTCCCATCCCAGAGTCCTGAAAATATACATTTATAAATAACTTCAGCCAAAGACATTTTAGACATTATATATATAAATATAAGAACATGACAGATCATAACTAGGAAATAAACGATAGAGAAATAAGGAATATATTCCCAGATTCAAACACTTATGGACATAAGGCTGACTATAGTAGATTTACAATTGGTGGGATCTCATGTATATATATATAGTAACCTTCGAAATTTTAGTTTGGGACACAAATCCCATTGTTAACCAATACTAAAGGTGTACAATTCCCGGTTATATTGATGCATATTGATATACTTGATTCTACTCACTCATATAATAATATACTCGTTATTGGAAACTTAATGCGAGTTTAGTTCGAAACACATGTGAACACGAATGTCATGTTAACTAGTACCAAAGGGGGTAAGATACACGATTAATCAAGTCAAGTCAAGGCTGGTATCGAGCAGCGACACCGAAGTTTCTAATATCTAATTTAAAAAGTAATAATTCTAGAGTTTTGAAACAACTATATCTTATATTGACGGTGAGTGCCGTATATGACAGAGACCATTCAGTAGAAATTATATAGGAGAGTATACATTAATCAAGCTCTTCTTAATGCACATGATTAAGCATAACATGACGTGACCCGCACTAACAATAGGGAAAATATGACACATATTTCCATGTCTCTATTTTTAAATAGTTATGAATATGGATTGTATGATAACTTAGGACTTTAGCAGGGGATAAGAATCAAAAAGGAGTTTACACTTGGTTGAATATAATTCATACCGTATCGTCTTTGGAAATTTTAGTTGAAACACGAGTTCTTTAAGGTGTAAGATTAACGGCTATCTAAATTCACATAGTATGACTCACTCTTATAATATCATTATTGGAAATTTGGGGCGATTCCAGTTTGAACTAGTTGGGAACATCATTGGCATGAATATCAACTGTGAACTACCAGAGCGTACAGGTCACAATGAGCTACAGTTACATTTAAAAAATTAGCCTGATTACTTTATATAGTATGGTAGTTGGTGTCAACTACCATTTGTGGCAAAAACGCTTATCAGATTAATGAAAAAGGCCAGGACTACGTTTCCAAACATGTCAGACATATTAGTATATATGAGCACCCTATGATAAACAACAAGTTAAACAATAAGTTTTAATATTCGCATGGTTTTTAAGTTGGGGTTGTGTTTTCACCGAATTACACTTAACGAGGCATAGTTCAAATTCTTCCAGTGTCTCTGCAGATATACACGTGCTGAACTAAAAGTATCACTATGAAAAAATTTCACTGTTTGTCGTAATCACAATGTGACACCCTGCGGTGAAACGCCTTTTATTCATGCTGGCCTAATAACCTTTAAATAGACTGACATTACAAGATAGTAATTGGCCTTTTGGTTTGGACGATTAAACGAAACGACACAGCAGATGGGACAACACAGCAGTCAGCCCCTGCGCTTTACTGACTATGTCATTATTCACCGGATATTGCTACAGTTTAATCGTAGGACAGAATATTTAATTCCGCGATTCTACGAAATGAGCATGGTTTGGTTTAACAGATTTTGCCATAAACAATTATGAGCGCGCATTATTTCCCAAACTGTCAAAAATAAGATCAATTTATTCATTTTGTACCTCGACTGTTGGGCGGGAACAAAAAAGTTTAATTTTTTTCTAATCAACAGCCAGAATAAAACGGTAGTTGTGCGAATCATGTTATGATGAAATTTTGAGGTTGAAATTTTTAGAAAATTTCATTTAACACACAAACCAAAACTGAGCTTATACTCAATATATTGAAAGTAATATTTGTATGTAGATTTCCCGAAAAAAATACAATACATCATTTATTTATACTATAGACATCTAAGTTGAAAAGATTTCAAATGATTTGGTTACATACTTGCTCTTCAGACTTGATAGGCCTCCATCTCACTCAGTGATGAAAAGCTGGCACTTGACGAATTTCTTTTGGTACAATGATAAATTGTTCTGTCAACTTTCGAGCAGTGTTTTAAAAAGCTGAAAATCAAAATATATGTCATGATTTTGCAAGCCAATTCTAAATTTGAATTAAACTAAATTTCGTTGAGCCAACTATGTCATTAGGTAGTTAATTCAGACAAATGCTATTTGACAGGGACACTGCAAAGCAAAATATAGACGATAGTTTCAATAAAATACGTAACGGGTGAATTTCGACATTTGATTTCATAAAAGTCAAACTTTTCTCCGATTTTTTTTTAAATACACAAAACTAAGAAAATTTAGACGAATAAAATTTATTCAGCGATTGCCATTAAATTTCAAATATTATAGATTACCATAGAAATTGCTTTTCATCGACTCTACAATTACAGGTATATGTAATCATTCAATTTCATAAATTCAGCTCAATATTTTATAACATATCAGCTGTAGTTTTCAAACTGCACAAGTTGCAAATATTACAATAAAAGTAAAACACCCAATGAACTTTTATAACTGTTTCATGGAGTATATGACTAAAAACCTCTGAACAGTAACTTGTAGAATTATCACATTGTTCGCGGTGGCGATCGCAAACTGGAGATCGCTATCCAGCAGAGAAGCGAGCAACGAATTTTAGGGGGCGCAAAGAGTACACCAATTTGATACAAGGTACTATATTTATACCATATTTCGGACTTCTGCTTTAAAACACAATTATTAAACCTTGTACAGAATCTTAATCTTAAATTTCGATAGAATGCACAGGATCATTCCTGTGCATTAATTAATTAAAATTTGAATGTACCAATAATTTTTCGAACTATGACATTATGTGAACTATATGAACTATGTCAAGTTTGGGGATTATGAATGACCGAAAATGTAATTTGATAAATTAGATACGAATTGTATATAAATTTAAACAAATCTATTCGTACCTGTCTGTCTGCTCTAGCGATTTGGCAACATCAAATAAAATAATACACCGTAGATTTTCCAAATTCTAAACCTTAACGAGCCTGTCGAAACCCGGCGGTATTCTGAAAGCTCCCGCCAAACCCCATTGTACCAGATGGTTGAAATTAGGAGCCCAATTAAGACTTTATATAGGGGAAACATAATTTCGTGCAAGATTATAGAAAATAAAAAGATTCAGGTTGAAAATCCGTGGTTTGCCATAGCAATCGAAGATGTTTCAAAGTCATAAGCAGAAAGAATCAAAGGCCACTATCATATAAGCACAAACACCAAAGCGCGCGACATTCGTGGAGATGACGGGTTCACTAAAACTTACAAACTTACAACTGCGCAACGCTATACAAACAGCAACGCTAATTTATAAGTTGTTGAACGTGTAAGTTTAAATATCTGAGATGAACTGTAGTTAAATTTGCATAATTAGTAGACGATGTGATAGAAATTCCCATAATAGAAAACTGTTTTAATTTAAAGGAACCTCGTCGAACCTTTGTTACCCCAACAAAAAACAAAAAGTCGATTGAACCTGATTAAAAACTACTCTTCTAGACTATTGAAAAACTAACAAAACGCTATGGCAACGAAATAAACCCATAAAGTACGAATACAATAAATACTATAAAATGAGGCCCGAACAATTGTATTAATGCAGCCGCAATTGCCCCATTACTAGTATTATAACCCCATTGCTGGCGGACTGCCGCATACTTCGATACTTGTCAAACGATGGGAGAACGCCCGAAAAGAAACATAACCCGCGTCTTTTCGGGAATTGTGCATACGAAACTAACAAAGCAGGAACATTTATTGCATACCAGCTAAAAACTGCACACCTTCCGTGAACTAGCGGGTGGAAACCATTGCATTATATGACTTTACGAATATATAAATAAAATTGGGGGATATTATGGACATCTTGTGAGGATAATTCAAATATTTGCAGTTCTTCCTGACTAGCGGGATTTAACATGATATATCAGTTTATATCTGACAAAATATGAATTGAAAGATTTATAAGATTTCATACTTGCTCTTTACTCTTTACACTATATAGGCTTCCATCTCACTCCGTGAGGCACCAGACTAATAACAATGTCCGTTTGATGCAATGACTCTTTCAAGCAGTGATTTAGAAAACTGAAAATAAATATATAGTTTCATTATCAAGTTTTGGAGTTACAAATCACAAAAAATGCTTATTAACAGAGGTAAAGCAAAGGTAAGCTTATATTAAAAATACATAAACAATATTATTTTGACCACGTAGAAATGCCATTATTGCCGATTTATTCATGTGGTTAGTATCAATAAAAAAGTGTTTTAACAAAGTTGAGTTACGTGAACATTCAACAGTAAGTATTGTAGTGATTACCAATTTGCGAAATTCTTTAATTATTATTTAACACGAAAGTAACACCGACACGATCTAAAATTAAACGCATAGAAATGTCCAACTATCCGCTTCCAAAATATCGCACCCCGGGGTCAATAATGATGGTATTGTTCGCCTAAAATTGGGACCGTAATTTACAAACTGTGATAGAAATCCTACACAGAAGATAGAAATCATAATAAAATTAATTTGTGTTGTGAATGCACTTGTTGTCCCTCTTTGCCGATGTGAACTCACAATCATGTCCGAAATATAAAAACTACGATATCCGCCGATAATTAATATTTACTAGTGAATAAAAAAGTGCTTTAATATAGTCTAACAACATTAATTGGAATGTCGGCCGCCAAAACGATCGCGGTGACAAATAATTCACTGAGGCCTTCGATTACGACAAAATTATGAAATAAAAAACGCCGCACTGTTCTAGTAAAATCCGAAAAAAAAATATTGTCACGGCGGTGGTTTCGGCGGCCGACATCCCAATTGATGTCGTTCAAAATGACAATACTGATTATTCGGTGTCCGTTAAAAATATTCGATTAACTCGATTAAAAAATACGATTTTGCCCGCCACTGATCACGGCGCAAGTAAATAATCATTGAATGGAAATAAAAGTTCAACTTCATAACAATAAATTCAAGTAATAGTTTTAAATTTCATGCATTTGATCGGCGCTACATGCGAGCGTATTTTTGTACATATAAACCATTATGACACTACTGACATCTGCGAGTTTTAGTTCTCTCTGAAATTAATTTTCCCGAATTTTTGATGTTTTATTTCTAAATGCGGGTACCCGCTGACTACGGATTAATAGTCGACGTTTGAAATACGACTTGTAAAATATTCACCAACACCATCAGGCAAAGAGAGACGGGCTACAACGTAACTGTGGAATTTCGCTGTGAACGACCATACATTTTAGTTTATTAAACGCATTACGTCGTCGTGAATTGCACTTTTGGCGCACTCTTTTAATTTCATCGTAACCCCCATTGGAAAATCCTGGCTGCGCCCCTGGATGCGGCAATATTTAAAATGCGGTATTTATTGGCTTAATTGTGTTCAATGAAACCTGCAGTTGCGACGACTTACGTCTTACGACAATATAAAATCATTACAACTCAAAATTACCGCGTCAATCAGCGGACTTGAAATGAAGAACAATGAAACCAAGTGTAACAACACTGAATCCGCCCCGCCGCAGGCTTTTTAAGGTTTCACCGTTTGAAATATCCCAAGATATGGACAAAATACGAACGATTGTAATTTAAATTATTGCAAAAAAAATCGATCTAGATATCTTGCATTAATTATTTTATATATCGTCACATACCGAGAAAAAGTCGTATGCGGCTCAATAGGTAGTTAGTTTCAAAATAGACAAAAGGTACATCGCGTGACAATTTACTGTGTTTCGATTTCAGTTACTATTATGGTATATATTTTAAAGAAATCCTAACATAACACCAAATTTTGTGATTTACAATGTCTAAAAAGCGTTTTCAATCTGCTGCGAGACTGCTAAAACAAAACTTATGGTGATATCTTCCGTTTTATATTTTAATTTTAATATTTTATAATGCCGCAATCAAGAAATTGGGTTGCGGATTCACCTCTTTATCATTTATTTCTTCACCGATTTTTATAATATAGTATTCTAACTTGTTTGTGATGAATGTAAATTAGAAAGATTCAGAAGATTTTAATAACATACTTGCTCTTTAGACTCGATGCATCCACCTCTCTCAGTGATGCATAATCGGACAAATAACTCCGCATGTCTTTTGATGTATAATGATAAACTGTCTTTTCCGCTTTCAAGAAGAGTTTCAGAAAGCTGAACTTTATGCGAGATAATGAACTGTAAGTAAATTTTGTATAATATTGATTTGAATAAATATAGTTGTTCGAACTAAGTCATTATTAAGTTTTAGATTTATAAGTTACGGAAAATGTAATTTGACAGGAGCACAGAGAAGCTATGCTTATACTTTGGATACATAAAATAAAAATATTAATTTTCAGTTCATTGACAAATTATTCAGATTTCCCCCTTATTTACTAACAATACTTTGGAATGAATGGTGTATAATATTGCAACACATCATATAAATTATATTTATATTCATTGAAAAGCACGTTGAAAATACGGCTATTAAGAAATGTAAATATCAAAAATAAGGCGGAAAAGATAAAATTTAACAAATATTTCTGTTTCTAATTACCTTTACGCCCCTCAAAAAATTGTCCACGCTCTTGTGATAAGCTATGCTTATTCTAAAGATACAAGGACGACAACTTGTACTGATATTCATTTACGTTCATTCTATATTATTTGCAGATTTTCAATATTATAAATATTACTTATTCGGAATGATCTGTCAGTGTGCTATGTTGTATCTCATTATCTAAATTTTAACTAGTGAATTATTTATTAGTGTGTTATATTTTACCTTCAAGTTCTCTATAGTCTTTCCTTCCCATCCCAGAGACCTGAAAATATACATTTATAAACAACTTCAGCCAAAGACATTTTAGACATTATATATATAAATATAAAAACTTGACAGATCATAACTAGGGAATAAACGATAGAGAAATAAGGAATATATTCCCAGATTCAAACACTTATGAGCATAAGGCTACTAGCAATAGGGATATAGGCTGACTATAGTAGATTTACAATTGTTGGGATCTCATATATATATATAGTAACTTTCGAAATTTTAGTTTGGGACACAAATCCCATTGTTAACCAATATTAAAGGGTGTACGATTCCCGGTTATATTGATGCATATTGATGCCATTGATTCTACTCACTCATATAATAATATACTCGTTGAAACTCAATGCGAGTTTAGTTCGAAACACATGTGAACACGAATGTCATGGTTAACTAGTATCAAAGGGGGTAAGATACACGATTAATCAAGTCAAGTCAAGGCTGGCTATCGAGCAGCGACACCCAAGTTCCTAATATCTAATTTAAAAAGTAAGAATTCTAGAGTTTTGAAACTACTATATCTTATATTGACGGTGAGTACCGTATATGAAAGAGACCCTTCAGTAGAAATTATATAGGAGAGTTTACATTAAATAAGCTCTTCCTAATGCACATGATTAAGCATAACATGACGTGACCCGCACTAACAATAGGGAAAATATGACACATATTTCTATGTCTCTATTTTTAAATAGTTATGAACATGGATGGTGTGATAACTTAGGACTTTCAGCAAGGGAATAGTAATCAAAAAGGAGTTGGTTGAATATAATTCATACAGTATCGTTTTTGGAAATTTTAGTTGAAACACGAGTTCTTTAAGGTGTAAGATTAACGGCTATCTTAATTCACATAGTATGACTCACTCTTATAATTAAATTTGGGGCGATTCCAGTTTGAACTAGTTGGGAACATCATTGGCATGGATATCAACTGTGAACTACCAGAGCGTACAGGTCACAATGAGCTACAATTCCATTTAAAAAATTAGCCTGATTACTTTATATAGTATGGTAGTTAGTGTCAACTACCATTTGTGGCAAACGCGCTCATCAGATTAATGAAAAAGGCCAGGACTACGTTTCCAAACATGTCAGACATATTAGTATATATGAGCACCCTATGATAAACAACAGGTTAAACAATAAGTTTTAATATTCGCATGGTTTTTAAGTTGGGGTTGTGTTTTCACCGAATTACACTTAACGAGGCATAGTTTAAATTCTTCCAGTATCTCTGCAGATATACACGTGCTGAACTAAAAGTATCACTATGAAAAAACTGTTTGTCGTAATCACAACGTGACACCCTATTGCGGTGAAACGCGTTTTATTCATGCTGGCCAACAATAACCTTTAAATAGACTGACATTGCAAGATAGTAATTGGCCTTTCGGTTTGGAGGATTAAACGAAACGACACAGCAGATGGGACAACACAGCAGTCAGCCCCTGCGCTGTACTGACTATGCCATTATTCACCGGATATTGCTACAGTTTAATCGTAGAACAGAATATTTAATTCCGCTATTCTACGAAATGAGCATGGTTTGGTTTAACAGATTTTGCCATAAACAATAATGAGCGCGCATTGGTTCCCAAACTGACAAAAATAAGATCAATTTAATGCATTCCTGTATCTCGACTATTGGGCGGGAACAGAAAAGTTTAATTTTTATTTCTAATAAACAGCCAGAATAAAACGTTAGTTGTGCGAATCATGATGAAAATTTTGAGGTTGTAATTTTTAGAAAATTTCATTTGACACACAAACCAAAACTGAGCTTATACTCAATATATTGAAAGTAATATTTGTATGTAGATTTCCCGAAAAAAATACAATACATCATTTATTTATACTATAGACATCTAAGTTTAAATAATTTCAAATGATTTGGTTACATACTTGCTCTTCAGACTTGATAGGCCTCCATCTCACTCAGTGATGAAAAGCTGGCATTTGACGAATTTCTTTTGGTACAATGATAAATTGTCCTGGCAACTTTCAAGCAGTGTTTTAAAAAGCTGAAAATCAATATATATGTCATGATTTTATGCAAGCCTAAATTAGAATTAAACTAAATTTCGTTGAGCCAACTATGTCATTAGGTAGTTAATTCAGACAAATGCTATTTGACAGAGACACTACAAAGCAAAAAATAGACGTTAGTTTCAATAAAATACGTAACGGGTAAATTTCGACATTTGATTTCATAAAAGCCAAACTTTTCTCCGATTTTTTTTTTCAATACACAAAACTAAGAAAATTTAGACGAATAAAATTTATTCAGCGATTGCCATTAAATTTCAAATATTATAGATTACCATAGAAATTGCTTTTCATCGACTCTACAGTTACAGGTATATGTAATCATTCAAATTCATAAATTAAGCTCAATATTTTATAACATATCAGCTGTAGTTTTCAAACTGCACGAATTGCTTATTATTAATTATTACAATAAAAATAAAACACCCAATGAACTTTTATAACTGTTTCATGGATGATATGACTAATTACCTCTGATCAGTAACTTGTAGAATTATCACATTGTTCACGGTGGCGATCGCAAACTGGAGATCGCTATCCAGCAGAGAAGCGAGCAACGAATTTTAGGGGGCGCAAAGAGTACACCAATTTGATACAAGGTAGAAGGTACTATATTTATAGTACTATTTCGGACTTCTGCTTTAAAACACAATTATTGGAATTTACAGAATCTAAATCTTAAATTTCGATAGAATGCACTCGATCAAATAAGCAGCATAACAATGTTGGCTTGCATTGAACTATTTAGCATTTTAAACGTGAACGTGGGTCTTACTTTTTTGAAATTTTGATTCGAAAGACAATTATTAAAACTTGTGAAAATATAAATCTTACAATATCGAGGGAAAACACACGATCAAATAAGTGGCAATGCCGACTTTGATCGCAAGACCCGAGACGCAGTGCGCTCGCATCTAATTGTTTAGCATTCTAAACGAAAACAGTTGTGTACAGGAATAAAATAGGCGTCGAAAGTCAAATAAAATGTTTAAATGATATTTACTTGTAAAATTCCTCGTTCGTTACTTTGTGTTTTTGTATCTACAACCTTTAATAGTTTTGCATCTGAAAAAAAGGTAAAATATTGGTAAATAAACTGTCGCAGAACTGTAGCTAGCATATTCAATGAACAGCGGGACTGAATCTATCGGATCTTTTGCACAAAGCTCCCGCTACGTTTTAAAATGACATATTAGTAATTATCGATTTGGGGTTAGGAATGATTTATAAATTTAATTATTAATTCTCTTATTCTGAACGTTGATAGGGTCTTTGTACAAAGATCCAATACACGGCCATCATCCGGTAGTATTCGTACCAAGATGGCGCACAACCTGAACCCTAACCAGGTACACATACTGTGTTCAGGTTGAGCGCCATCTTGGTACGAATACTCTGGGAGCACCCTATACACAATAAAATATGAAAGGGAAAAGGCTACGGCAAATCTCCAATAAACCATTAATTTTGCGCTACATTTGCGAAAGTTTTGAAAGTTATGCATTACATTCATGTAAATCTTGTCCTGTTGAATGCAGCTTACGTAGTGACGTAGATCAGTATATTACGTTTAAGTTTCTTAATATGATAAGTCTATGTATTGCCATATAGCTTTTAAGTTCAACCAGTTGTGAGAAAACGATGGAACCCGATGTTAGTGAGTTCGATACAAAAGAGAATCACCCACCAATCTAGACTTCTGTATTAGGGTAATAATTCCAATTCGTATAGGCCCGAAAACCTCTAATTTACCATTTATACAATAGAAAAATGAAAGCAATAGAATAGCAATGAAAATTATAAGTTTAAAGAACATTTAGCTCACCTGAATATTGTTTCGAACTCGCTGTCATAACCCAACAGTCAGTTTATTCATACATCCTACACAAAATCAAACCTTATCCTACGACGAACATTTGTGACAGCGATGTCGCTTGTGGCTTCCCGCGCACCAATATTTGACGAAAAAAGCTAACTGATTGTTGTAATCATATCTTGCTAACTGATTACTTCAATTACTCCAGGTTGCCTTTTGGAACCGATCACGCTTCTAACGCGTGATGAAGAATAACGACGTGTTTAGCGTTATATCAATGCATTCTCTAAATTGACGTACAAATCTTAGCTCATTGACTTTCGCAGCCAAGAATGTTTTTATACAATAACGTGCCGGCGATGTCCTTAAAAGTGGAGTCACAATGTGACGTTGTTTCGATGCCTACTGCAGGGCTACTCAACTATTTCTATCGAAGGTCCGAAAACAAAACTTCAAAATTATTTGGGTCAGGTCTTTCCAGAAATGATTTTCGGCATCCTTAAACGAGCACTTCCTTCACCGACTAATGATTAGTAGCAAATTAAAATTGTTTATTATGGTGTTATAGTTCTTTTCGTATATATTCGAAACCATGAAAGTCATCTCATAATAGAAAATTCAATAACTGGGGCTAATGATCCAAAATAAATATATAGGTGCGGTCCTGGCCTACAGTAAAGGTAATTTCTCAGCCAAAACCAAACGACAGAGAACATAACATCAGCAACAGCATTAAACCACGTTCTATGTGAAGTAAATACGGTAATTGACTTCTCAAGACAAGTGCATACCGACGACAACGATTGATTCACATATTTGGTGTTATGGAGCTCGTGAAGAGACTGCGTATTTACGGAGAGCCACAATGAGAACGTAACAAAACAAATTTGTTACTTACCGATTAATATTAATGAGTGATTTGAAATTACTCTATTTAATACCTCGGATGTATTTGCTGCCTTCTTAAATTTTAATAATGTCATTTTGAGTAAACGAATAGTTCGCGGAGACTCTAGTTCTTGTATGAAGCACTTGAGTCTATCTCTACAGTAGACCTCTTGGTAAAAAGCGATCATGATACAGGTATGTACGGCCAAACAGAACAATCCTGAGATTTCGTCATCCAGCGTAAGGTAATAGACGTATATTAATGTGTTTAGTATCTATGTCAGCCAGTGCACTGCAGTGGACTCATGCTCGCCGTTGAGTGGCGCATCGTGCTAAGCCTTAATACTACGCTTGATTTCTAACCTAAGATTACCCCGCTTAGATTCGCAGGTTCAAATCCAGTAGGGGATAATTTAGCACCAGAAGATTGCTGGCGGCTTCCTCCCACCATCCCTACCCTAAGCTAGCGCTTCCCAAACTTTTTTCGCCACGGAATATTAATATTTTTTTTTTTTTATTTACGGATCAGAGTTTTTCCAGTCTCGGATCAGTGTCATAAAAACACGTCATATCCGAGTCATATCGGTATTACGCTTCATAAGCATGCCACTGCGTAAGCAGCGGTTATACAGATAAGGCGGCTTCCGTATTAGCTATGCATTGCAAGGCAAAGACTTCGGCCCCGGGCATCAGTACATGCTATGTGCCAAATAGCAGGACGTCTGCCCAGGGCTTCCGTCAATGCCATGCTTAGCACAGCTCAACTTCCGCCACCTCTGGCTTCCGTACAACCTGTGTGAACGTGTAACACGCACACAGACTGACATCCACCGTGAAGCTTCCGATTCATCATTTCCGTGGAAAGTTGTGGATGGTATTATCGGGGTTAAAATCGTGTTTTTCTGCGGGTTTTGGCGTTATTATTGGGCTACCATTTATGGTAGTTGAGTTTGTTCGTAGTTTTAACTTTGTTCAAACGAAGAAAGTTATCAATTTCATAGATACCCTTTTAAAATTCTTTTCCAATTTTCAGTTATTCCCAGGAAGTGAGTGTTGCCGAATTTATGGTCCATGAGAGTAATGAAGTCCGTGAGGTTTTTAATTGTTTTGGCCAGAATTGTTTCTTCCTTGGGGTCGATGTAATATGTAGACATCTATGGCTGTGTATCTGTCTCCGAATATGTAGCCATCTATGGCTATCCGGTACGAGAGAACCCTTTCTGTGTTGGTGAATTTGGTTCGATATGTTTTCGTGAGTAAGTGAATTTCTTCCCAATTCAGATCCAGTTGTTGTTGATTTGTGTCGATTGCCCTGAGTTTATGTAGATTTTTTATGTCTCGCTAAAGTCCCAATCATTTTTTCGTAAAGTCCAATTTTTTAAAGGTATCGAGGATGTGTTGCCATTGTTTTGGACTGTGGGGCTATGGGGCTATGGGGCATCGAATTCGTATACAGATCCCTGTTTACCAATCTGATCTGGAGCCAAGGCATATAGCGCCTCTTTGATGCCAGAATAGGGTTTAGGGTCCGCCCAATGCAAGTAACCACGCATTTTCTCTACTAGGCATGCTTTGCGGGACTCCATAAAAATTAAAACAGGCACACTTGATTTCATTTACTTGTTTTTGGGGGGTATTGGCTTAACTCTTACATGAAATATTACTATGGACATTATTGGAGAGTTTATAATATTTTGTTTGCCATGCCAAGTAAGATTGCGAAGTTTTACATAGTTCAGTGTTCGAATTATTTTGTTCTCCAGTTCCTTGCCAAGATTTTATCCATTCCTTTGTTTCCGAAAGTGTATTCCTAGTATTTTGGTGTTATGTTTTATATATGTTTGGTATGGGCGAATTGTAGGTTGATTTGTAAGAAGATCTTGTCAGGCAGAGTATTTGCGTCTTTTCTATATTGGTTTTCTGTCCAGTCGCCGTTTCGAATCGATGTAATTGCTTAAAGATTTCACTAATTGATGTATTATCCCGAACTGCAAAGGTAGTGTCGTCTGCATATTGGTCAAGTTTATGTTCGAAAGTTCCTAATTTTATCCCGTGTATGTTACTATTAAAAATTATCGATCTGGCGAATGGTTCCGTACTTAAAGCGTATAGCATCATGCTGAGCGGGCATCCTTGCCTAATTCCCCGTCGGATTTCTATTGCTTTGGATAACCTACCATTTACGTCTACCTTACTTTTTACTCCGGTATACATGCTTTTTATTACTTTGAATGCCTTATTACTTATTCCAATTTGGTGCAATATTTTAAAAAAAAACCATGATTGACCCTGTCAAAAGCTTTTAAATTATCTATTAAAATTAATGTTCCGGGTATATTGTTCATTTTACAATACCTGGCAATTGCGTCGGTATTGTAATGGACATCTTCCATGCTCCTTAGGGGGAGTGAGCATTTTTGCGTTTTGCTGATAACATTATTTAATATCGATTCAAGCCGTTTCACCAGAATTCTAGATATTATTTTGTAGTCGGTGTTTAATGTAGTTATCGGTCGCCAATTTTTGAGTAAAGTTTCTTTGCCTTTTTTATAGATTAGTTTAACTTTGGCTGTTTTTGCAGAATTTGGAAGTTGGCCGAAATGAAAGATGTTGTTAATTAATAGGGTGAAGTTCTTTTTGATCATGTTCCAAAATGTAATGTAGAACTCCTTAGTCAAGCCATCGAGACCTGGTGATTTATTGTCGGGCATGTATTTGATTGCATTGTAAATCTCATCTTCTGTTATAGGACTCTCCAAAATGGTGTTCTCATCATCTGTTATTTTTGTTCGGCTCATTATCGATATGTAATGATCTTGGCCTGACTCTTGTATGTCACTCACACCCCATAGGTTTGTGTAAAAGCTCTCGACTGTTGTTAGAATCTCGTCCTGATCGGTTGCCACAGTTTGGTTGTCGGTCTCTAATTTGTCAATGGTAATCTTTTTTGCTCTTTTTCTTATTCTTCCATAGAAGGTTGATGTTGGTTTTTCGCCTTCTTCTAGATCTTTCATTTTTGCTATTAGTGTGTCCCGCGCATTTTGTTCTTCTTCAACGGCCCTAAGTCGCATTTTCAATTCAACGATTTTCACGGCATTTTCTTGTTTTCCTTCGTTTATTAGTTCTAGGAGCGTTTTTCGAACTAATGTGGTTTCATTTCTTTTATTTCGGGCCAAATTTATTGAATATGCTATGGACTGTTTTTTAATTTTGGATTTTACATCATCCCACCATTCTTGTAGGGTATCAAAATTATATAGGCCAAAGGTCGCGGCTTGGTAGGTGTTTTTTATGACGTCATTAAAGGTCGGATCACGATATAGCTTGACATTATTTCGCCACGATCCCCTGCCCCATCTAACTTTTTTCATTTGTGTCAGGGTTACTACCGGACAAATAGGTGATCCGATACGGTACTGGGTACGTGTGCTATTGTCGAAATAATGCTGTCCAAATTGGTTGAATTATATATTCGGTCTATCCTTCTGCCATTGGAATGAAAATAGAAAGTGAAGATCTGCTTTTTAGGGTATTTATTTCTAAAGGTATCTATGAGGTTGTTACACTAGATAAAATTTTTAAAAATTTTTCTGGGGGGCGCAACTTAAAGTTATTATTGTTCGAGACGTCTACCGATTCCAGAGCATTATTAAAGTCCCCAACCAGAAGTATAGTCCGGCAGAATCGGGCCTTAACATTGTTTTGGGACATAAAGTTTTTTTTATTGTTTAGATATAATGTATATGACATATATAATGATACCCAGGTGGGTGTGGAGTATATAATGTTGAGCAATTTTTTTTAAGTGGATTTAAAGTATTCGGTCCAAGATGACGCACATCCCTGAACCCCCACCGTAAGCATTACAATATTCAGTTGTGCGCCATCTTAGGTACGAATACTCAGGAGCGCCCTTTTTGTTAAAAACAATTATTTCATAACTACATGGTTTTAGTTTTGCATACATAGTAACATTGAATCTCCTTACAATGTCAGAAATTCAATTTTAGTAGAAATAATGTAGTTTATTTCGCTAATACAAGCCAAGATCCATCGACAGTATCTAGCCACTTTCTATTGCGCTCTTCAAACTACATTTGCGTTGCCCGCGCGCATTTCGTTTTCCTAGTTTAAGC